AGAGAGAGAGAGAGAGAGAGAGAGAGAGAGAGAGAGAGAGAGAGAGAGAGAGAGAGAGAGAGAGAGAGAGAGAGAGAGAGAGGTCAGTTTTTGCTCAACTTCATCAATTCGCAACTGCAAATATGGGAGAGAGGCAAAGAGTGGGAGGCATGTGAGTCAGTGTACGGGAGGTTTGCAAGCACATCATCAGTCACACCATGTAGAAGACATTCCTCGTAAGTTTCCTAGTTGCTGGAGGCCTTGCCGTCAGCCACAACCTGGTAGATTAAAGACCACATCCCGAGGTAATTGAAGGTAACACATGATTTCTATGACTGGAACCACAGTTGTGCATGTGCTATTAATCCATGAATTTCTCTCTTCCACCATAACAGCATCTGCTCAATTAGACATCGGAAAACGAGAGGTACTTCACCAATCTTGAAAGTTCAACGGTAATGCAACCAACAGACAGACAGTGTGGCATGGCGAAGGTGCTGAACAGGGACCCTCATATTTACACGAAGTAAACACAGCAACAACACTTGGCACCAGTGTTGTTTTTCTTGTTTAATGAACTTCGATCATCTTTGAACGGCTAGTACACAGCCCCAGCCTTGTGGAGATTTGAGTGTCACCCACTCCGAGAACTTCATGCCACGGGCCTACTGGACCACAATGGCTGGCGGCACCAGCCGAAAGAGGGAAAAAACTTCAAAAAAGTGTGCCGCGGGTGATTTGGAAAAGCTTGGCGTGCAGTGCAGCGCCTCCAGGCCCCGGTGTACTGGTGGTTTAATAAGACTTCGATGGAAACATGACCCACAGCTACTGTCTTTCCGTTTGCATGTTAATGCAGAAAAAACGTGAAGATACACACCTCGGAACGGTGACGCACGGTGTACCTGCCAGGTGGCAGGACAGCACACGCGTGTAACTAGCGATCAACCCGTCGAGTACAATAACATTAGGGGCTACTTGCTTACAAAAGAGAAGGGACCAAACAACAACGGCAATGCCCAGAATGCTTGTGTTTGTTATGTTTGCCGCAGTGCTGTTGTGAAGCATGCAATGCTTCAAAAGGCTGCCGGAGTCACGTGAGCTCACACATGATCAGGCTAAACTGTGACAGTACGTACATTTGTAGTAGGAATACAAAGACCACTGCTAGGCCGCAACTGTGTGAGCACAAACACACTCAAAAACAAAGAACTGCATCCATCGTCTACTTGAGGCCATTCATTGCCTGTCATTATCTTGACGTTGATCCCATTCCATTGGTTTCCCTATTTAATTTCATGTACAAAACTGAGCACGGGACCAACTTATCTGGGACCACACTGGGCCAATGGCAGAGGCCCATATCTGGGTTGAAGTGGGCCTATGTCTAGTCTACCTTGGAATTCCTTTCTCTTTTACCGACAAGGGCTTTGGGTCTCTGCCATTGGCCCAG